AATCTATCCTAGTTTTATTTGTATTGTGAAGAGGATGTTACGAGATTGTTTTAGTCTTTAGTTTTTCTTTTAGTTTGTGTTGAGACAACGGCGAAGCCATACAGAATACATACATTTGCATAGAAACATGACTGATGTCTTATTTTATGATAGAGGAGCACAGACAGCATATTGTTGCGAAAGTTGCGTTGTCGACCTATTTGCCTTTAAATATTAGGAAGTCCACATACTGAAAACGAAACGCGGTTAAACTTTGCGGCTGTTTCATCTGTAGACGGTGTTTCGTGACACAGACGAAATTTTGATATTCCTACCACCTTTAAATAAAACGCTTTAACGGTTTAAAACGCGATATATTAGTAAACCGTGACCATGGTTGCTGCAAAGCATCCGAGGGGTCGGGCCGAAGTTAAAAATCATTTTCCAATAAGTTTAACTAATATATCGCGTTTTAAACCGTTAAAGTGTTTTATTTAAATGTGTACTACTCGCGTAAACTATAGACAGTATTTAATTCCTACCACCTGCTTAGTATCCATGCGAAGTCCAACATGTTCCAGACAAATTATAAATTGATTAGAAATATGTTGAACCCGGTGGGAATCGAACCCACGACTCGATTCCACTTGATTACTAGCAATACACTGTTACCTTTGGACCAACGAGTACGTAACATTGAATGAATGCTTAAAATAAACATATACCACTTCATAGTATACTCTATAAAAACTTGATAACAGCTGTTGTTTTGCGAGTGCGCAAGTTTTAATTTGAGTTCTGTTAACAAAAATTTACGTATTGTAAATCTAATAGACAATGCACACTTTAAGTCAAGTAAAGAAACTATTATCTGGTGTTTGTTTGGTTTCAATTCTTCTTAACTTTCTTATAAGGTAGTCCATTTGTGTTCCTCGTGAGGTTAAACAGGGTATTCTACTTAGCTGTGAATTGTGTAATGCCACGGGATTCATTCGGATCCGTTTTCAAACCGCCCTTTGCAGATTTAACACGGCTAGTCTTTTAATTCGACAAGACATCAGCCAGTATTTTACTAGCTATTCTTTTAAGACGGTCGTTTTATCTTATTTTGTTGCATATTATAAACGTGACCGCTTAAAGGGATCTAAAGAAATCGGTTTACAATACAAAACTATCACCATGTCAATTGTCATCTGTCTAATCTTTAGTACATTTGGCAGTTGACATATACAACTGTTATAGATTATAAAACCTTTTTTAAATTGATAAAATCGATGACACGGCAGGACACGAAATTGAGAAATACATAGAATTTATTAATATGCCTGTAAACAATATAATGATTCAAGATTTCTAGGTCTATTGTCATTTCTCAAATGTACTAATGCGACATTGTAAGTAACCCTGATCATTTAATTTGTGGCTCCCATATAGCTACCATGCATTAGGGCAAAGCGAGTTCTGACCAGTTAAATCTAATCACTTGCATTAGTGATGCACGGCCGAAGCTCATACTCCGCTTCATTTCACCAGAACATCCGACATTGATCCGATTTGTGCGTTTGTTGCTTTCCTTTTATTGAAATTTCCTTCTTTCAGGAAATTGGACGAGGATTATGCTGGAAAATATTCCCAGACACAAAGAGATGCAGATAATAATTGGGGTGAAGTTGTATGAGTTGAAAAAAGAGTATTAGTTGCGACGTCTAATTCTAATCATGGTATATCCTTTGTTATGTAAATAGGTGCTGTATTTTTATTTTGGTTTAACTCTATGCTAAAATGCATATTAGAAAGAAATGTTTTTATGATGAAGATGAAAAATATATACAAGTTGCAGATAAGTCGGACTTTTCTACATTTAAATATAATCATATTTTTTAAATGCGTAACTTTTTTCATTTGTAAATAAAGACTAATAACTACTACTTAACCCAGTAGACGTAATAATAGTAAAAAGTAATGTATAATTACTTACAAAAGGTTTTTTACGAACCCTGTGAACCTTGTAAGTACAGATATAAGACTTCGAACCCAAACTGAAACGGTCGTGTAAAGAAACCGACAAAAAGAAAGCCGACCGCTAATGCAATGTTGAGGAACAAATATTTACCTGACACCGACGTTTGCGAATTTCTTTTGCACCACACCACGCGAAGTTATACCGCAAATGAAAAAAGTTAATCATCCGATTAAGGTATTGACTTGAACGTTTTTAATTTTTCCGGGTTTAAAAAGTTTATTGCCGACTTTTTTATTATATGTATAATAAGTGATATAGTGCATAGTGCGGTATTGCTATGATAAATATAATGTGAAGTTGTCATATAAAAAGATTTAGATATACAGTGGGCTCGATTTATTACAGTAAATTTAGCAGTGCATAAGTTCGATTAAGAGTAACATAACAATTATCAAAAACAAAAATTACGTTCGATAACATGTAAAGATGTTAATGTTTCATACAGAGTAAAAAGCGAGAAATTCCTTTAATTTTACCACAACTTTGATGTTTTTGTAATTTTAATTATTAAGATTGTCGAGAAAATGGCAACTTCGCAGTTATCAATGAATGTGATTAATTCAAGTGTTCTGAAGCCCTGATCTGATGTTAATTAAAAAAATAAATCCTATGGCTTACGTTAGAATTCGTATGTAAAAGTGGCAATCATAATTATTTGGATTTAGACTGTAATGATTATATTTCCGAGGAAAAGACGTCGTTCTGTCTATAATTGAATTCCACAGAGGTCTCTGTCTAATATGCTGTACACGAACAGGGCGCGGTCAGGATTTACGAAGTATCGGAAATATTTTTCGATATATCTCAATCAACTCGTGGTGTGAGATAGAAGAATTTTTGGTATTTTTGTAAACGATTTACGGGTGTTAATGCCTTTTCGAGATTGTCTTGTTTGTAACTAATTTTTCACAATGAAACAAAGTATTATTTATTATATGTTTAATTTTTGATTTAACTTTTTTAACTAAACTTAAAATTTTAACTTAACTTAACTTCTATCTTTATATGTGGAATTACCAAATTAAAGAACCAAAAAAGGAAACGTTTCATTTTTTTTTAACTATAGTGTAAACCGGTTTCCCCTCGTCGGGCATGGGGAACATATTTCTGTGTCTGTTTCACTGTTCGGTTTTTATTTACAGGCAAATAGTTGATCACATTCCTTTACCCTGTCCGACCGGAACAATTTATTATTTCCCCGGGACTCGAACCGTCCTCTCGCGATTTACGCAATGCTCGGCAGCTCGTTTCAACATATACGGAGGCGGTAATTTTTATATTAATATTTTATATATTATCAGTCTCGATCGTAATGTATTATCAGTGTGAAGTCGAACACAATTTACAAGATCTAAAATGTTACAGAGAGATAAGAATTTCAAATAGCCATGCTAAAAACTCAATTATGAATCGATTTTAACATGTTCTTGCAAACTACACAATCTAGTCTGTGGTAAATAGTACAGACAATACTTAACAATTTAATTGTAAGGCGTCGAAGCATTGAGCATTAGGTGGTCAATAATGTGTTTCCGTTCAATGCCTCGCCGAGACACAATAGCTGCACATTTGACAGTGTAGATAGTCCATTACCGACTACAAACAGCCTTTTAGTGTTGGCACTAGGTTTCCGATACGTAAACGTATCTTTGAAATAATATTTACTTGTCGAACACTTAAGATTTTATTCTAAAAGATAATAAAATCGCCTTTTTAATAAACTAGTTTTTTAATAATAATTAGTATTGCTTTATTAGCTTATAAGTTTATGGATGTTATCTTTGGTACAGGAAAAATGATTCTTTTTTTTATAGAATTATTATTTACTAGCTGAGTCAGCGACTTCGTACGCGTGGAATAGTTATTATGGGTATAAATTTTTGTTTGTTCAACTCTAGAAATTTAAGCAGTTCTTATTAAGTTAAGTAAAGTAATTCTACAAGATAGCCATATACTGTCACAGACTTTTTTTTAGATCATTTAAGGAGGAATCATTCTTTTATACATATTTTTTGGGTATCTAGAACCGTTTTCGCAGCGTTGACAAACCACAAGGATGAATAATTTTCGTTTTTTCGACATTTCCCGCTGTATCTTCGCTCCTATTATTCACAGCGATATGTTTTATAGCCTATAGTCTTCCTTAATACATTTTATAAAGAACATACACATTTTTGTGTTGGTCAGAACATTTACAGAAACATTTGAACATTTTCAAAAACCAGTAGTTTCTGAGCGCGTTCAAACAAACAAACTCTTCGGCTTCTTCTTCTACGGGAGTTTAGTTTTATAAGAGTCAAATTAGAATTTTAGTGCCAATAGGTCCGTACCAGTCTATAAAACCGTACAAAATAGATATCGCCAACTCTAAACGCGTAATTTACCAGTCTAGTGCTGATAATAGTTGAATTGTGCATTTGGTCAGTGGACTGTCTAAATCGAGATAAAATGTTAATTGAATTTCAACTGAATTATATTTGATATTAGCGATTGGGTATAGCTTCAAAACTGTACTTATATTTAGCGTTGGTAACATTTATCCTTCTACCCGCGCTCGCGCACACGTTAACGTCGTCTCTCGTTCTAAAATCGAATTACAACATATTTAATTCAACTGCCAATAATATGATTCGATAAACAGTTACTGTAAGCGGGGCCGATCAATTTACAGTAATTATTTCAGTGCTAAACCGTGTGTGAACTTTGTAAAGCATAATAAACAGTCAGCGCATATAGTGTCAGTGGGTTCTCGAACATTACCGTGCCGGCGTACATTGTATTGTAAATGTCAAATGTCATTTGTACTCCACTGATACAGAAGAATATAAACATTTATTCCAATTATGCCTATGAATGATCGTTTGGTGTAACGGCTTGCGCGAAGTCCTCCCAACGTACAGCCACGGATCGATCCCGAGTGAATTGACTAGAAATTTATTTTTATTTATTATTTAATGATAGTGTGAAACGGAGAGCAAATACTTTTTAAAATATTATGATGGCGCCTTCAACGACCTGTGCTAAATGTTTTAAGGATTTGCATAACAAAGACTTCTTGTGTTGTCAAACCTGTAAATTAAAATACGACCTCGACTGCGCGGAGGTCTCTCCTGGGCGGTTCGCTGATATGTATGCAAGACAAAAAGTGGCGTTCAAGTGTCCTGCGTGCACACGAAAACTTCTTAAATCGACAGGGTCATTGCAAACGTCTAACTCAGAAGATAGCGCCCACGATCCGAGCTCTGAAGACTCGAGTCCGAAAACATTCGTAGACAATATTACATTGCGCCCGAAGGCCGCCGGTAAGCCCTACTCTAAAGCACCGAGCCAAACAGTGGTCACCGAAGATAAGCTAAGGGATATTCTGCAACACGAATTGTCATCTATTCTTACTGCGACGATTAAGCAACTTGTAACGACTGAGATCAGCAATCTTTCAGAACAGTTTTCTAGTTTCCAGGAATCGATCTCTCTCTTGAATCTGCAACTTAACGAATTGAAGGCTTCAAATGATGAAAAAAACATTATTATTGCAAATTTAACAGCGGACAATGAGAAGCTGAAGTCTTCGCATGCAGACCTTCAAAAAAAACTGAGCTCTGTCGAACAACATATGCGTGCGAATAATATTATTATCAATGGTATTCCGGAGACCAAATCTGAAAATTTGTTTGACACCGTGTGCAAAATTGCCAATTCTGTGGACTGTCCGCTTTTGCCCAACGACTTGCATCACGTAACAAGAATTTCGAAAAATAAAGAATCCTCGAGTAGACCTCGGTCAGTAGTAGTGAAGTTACAAAGCCCTCTTTTGCGCGACACCTTTATTGCGGCTGTAAGCAAATTTAATAAAAATAATCCGCGTGACAAACTAAACTCGCGACATCTTGGCATTAGTGGAATGATAAATCCTATCTTCGTGTCTGAGCATTTGACGCCTGAAAACAGTTCTCTTTACTCTGCTACTCGAATTAAAGCGAAGGAATGTCAATATAAGTTTGTATGGATCCGCAACGGGCGCGTTTTTGCAAGAAAGAATGAAAACAGCAGAGCCCTGCTTATCAGTGATCGTGAATCGTTAGATAAGATAGTTTAGTTTAGTTTTTATGTTTGTATGTTCTTGATGATTGGTAGTTGGTTGTTTTTAGTTGTATTTTAATAGTCGTATAATTTTATTTTGTTATGTTACTTTTTTACCAGAACGTGAACAGAATTAAAAGTAAAATTCATAGTCTGAATGTAAATGTATTGAATAGCAATTTTGATATCATTTGCTTAACTGAGACGAACCTGGACCCTTCGGTTAAGGACAGTGAACTTTTAGACAGTCGTTACAGAATTTTTAGGCGGGACCGTGACGGAAATACAAGCCGCAAGGTCTCAGGGGGGGGTGTGTTAGTGGCAGTTAAGAAAGAATTTATTGTTGAAAGAATTCATAAATGGGAATCTGACGTGGAATGTATATGGCTTAATTTTAGTATATTTAAAAATAAATACTTCAACAAAAACATTAAATTATGCCTTGTGTATCTTCCACCGGACTTGCCTACTGACAAATTAAGCGCCTTTTATGATCAAACTGCGGATATCTTATCTAACTCAGATGACCCTTTTTTACTATTGGGCGACTTTAACACACCGTGTATAGATTGGCTGTTGACTGGGGTTGGCGCGATGAAGACCGTGGAGGCCAGGTCCGTCTCTTTGGATGTTAAGAGTCGATTGTTAATGGATTTTATGTCAATTTGTAACCTTTATCAATATAATTACCTTCAGAATGTAAATAATCGCACACTAGATCTATTATTTGTTCGTGACATCTCGGTGTTCCTAAATCAGTCGCATGCATTATCAAAACAGGACGTGCATCATCCTGCCTTTGAGGTCAGTTTAGGTGGCACTTTAAGACCTTTTCTGAAATGTCGCAAGAATAATGGGCTTCTTAATTTTAATTTTAGAAAATGTAACTTTAACAATTGCAGACATGAACTTATGAGTACCAGTTGGAACGTATATCTGTCCTCAACAGATGTGAATCGGGATTTAAATGAATTTTACAGAATCTTAATGAACATAGTTAAAGCTAATACCCCATATAAAAGAAAGTTTTGTTCAAATATGCCTATTTGGTTTAGTAGTTCGTTAAAGAAGTGCCTCAACGAAAAGAATAAATTTCATGAAAAGTTTAAAAAATTTAAAAACCCCCGGGATTATGATACTTTTTCTCTTTTACGGAAAAGATCGAAAAAAATGATAAAAGATTGCTACCGTAAATATATCAATAGCATAGAAACAAATCTGTTGAAAGGCAATTCTAAATTATTTTGGAATTTTGTTAAAAACAAAAATTTAAACTCCTCTATTCCACCTTCTGTTTATTTTAATGACGTCACTGCCACAGATGGAGAAGATATCTGTCAAGTGTTTGCGGATTATTTTCAAACTGTATATGAGTTTGGTAATTCTTCTGCATCAAACGTTAATTATAATTCAGACCAACACTTTAATTGCCTTGGTAGTGTGCGTATTGATGTAGATGAAGTATATAAGATTTTAAAAGGAATTAATCCTAATAAAGGTGCTGGTCCCGATGGCATCCCGTCGTACTTTGTGAGGTCGTGCAGTGACGTCCTAGCCGAGCCTTTGACAATAATCTTTAACAAATCATTGACGTCAGGAATTTTTCCCGACTTGTGGAAAACTGCGCATGTTGTACCGATACATAAATCTGGTGACAAAGCAAACGTCTGCAATTATAGGCCAATATGTATTCTAAATTGTTTTGCGAAAATTTTTGAACGCGCTATTTTTGGAAAACTTTACACTCACATTAATCAGTTTTTACTTCCTGCTCAACATGGTTTTGTATCGCACAAATCTACTACAACAAATTTAACTGAATATATTAATGTTCTATTTAATGTCATTGATGATAGAGGTCAGGTAGATGTCATCTATACTGACTTCCAGAAGGCATTTGACAAAGTCAACCATGACATACTTCTGAAGAAGCTTCTTTCCTGCGGTATTCATGGAAATTTACTACGTTGGTTATCGTCTTACCTAAAAAATCGCTCGCAAATTGTAGCTATTAATGGATGTCTTTCTAAAGCAATTTTAGTTCCCTCTGGGGTCCCTCAGGGATCGCACCTAGGGCCTTTATTGTTTGCCCTCTTTATAAATGACTCACCCTTAAATTTCAATTCAAATACCAAATATATTTTCTACGCTGATGACTTAAAATTATTCAGAAGAATTAGAAGTATTTCCGACTGTATTACTCTTCAAAATGATCTTTATATTCTTGATTCCTGGTGCCGTTGTAATTTAATGAAACTTAACGTTAATAAATGTCATGTAGTTACTTTTACAAATAATTTAAATATAATTGATTACTCATATAAAATCTCAGATATATCTCTAACACGTAAGACCTCTATAAGGGACCTAGGTGTTATCTTTGATAGTAAATTATCTTTTATTGAACATATTGATCATGTTGTAAAAAAATCAAATCAAATACTTGGATTTATTTTACGAACGACAAAAACATTTAATAACGTAAATAGTGTGATAGTCTTATACAAATCTTTGGCCCGTAGTATTCTCGAATATAACAGTGTAGTTTGGTCACCTTTTTATAAAGTACATATTGATGCAGTTGAATCTACCCAGAAACGCTTCTTAAGAATGTTATGTAATCGTTATCGTCTGCGAAATTCTCTTCGCACGTATGACAGTCGTCTAAAATATTTCAATTTGGATTCTCTTGAAAGGCGTAGAAAATACATTGATTTGATATTCATGTACAAAATATTAAATTACATAACTCATACTGAGCTACTTTCAAATTTTTCTTTTCACTGTGCGCTCAAGGTTACTAGAAACAATTGCCTCTTTTACTCTCCAACGCCCCGCCTTGCGACTTCTGCCAATTCCCCGATTAATAGAATGGTTAGATCATACAATACAATATCTAAAAATGATATAGATATAGACATATTTCACAACAGCCTGTACAGATTTCGTGTTCTAGTGCGACAGGCATTAGGTTAGTCTTAGTTCACGTTCTGTCTCTAGTTTGTTCATTTCACATCTTTATGTTTGTTATTTTAGTAGTGATTAGTATAATAGTTATATATTAATTAGAATTATAGTTTTAATTGTGTGCCTATTTAACCGTATTTGCAATGTGTTTCTGTGTAATTGACGTATATGTAAAAATTATTGTTCTGCATTAGTTATAAGTATGTAAAACACATATATGTTGTATGGAAACCAAATAAATAAATAAATAAATAAATTTATGTTAGAATCCAACTATATTAGTGTTTAAGTAATAAAAAAAAGATCCCATTATAGACTTTTTATTATGGCTTTCAAATCTGCATGTATGAATTAAATATTTAGTCAAATATTCAAAATTTTCCAATTTATTTAATACAGATATTTTAGACTTGTTGGATGCAAATGAAAGAATTAATTTAATTTTTATTTATTAAACTTAAATGAGTGTACATTTTTTTACATCTTTTTCATCTTTGGTCATATCTTATCGTTTCCTACTCACTACCCCCGGGAAAACAATAGATTGTATCGGTCGGGCAGGGCACAAAAGCCTGATCAACTAGTTGGCTATGAATGAAAACCAAGTGGTGATGTCTTTATATTAAATAAAAATGTATCTATTTCGCGGGAATTCGACTTAATTCTTTCCTATTTATGAAGGCTGTGAGGCCTCGTGCGAGACGCGTAAAGCTATGCGACATAATTATTTCCCATCTGAATTGCAATGGTAGTAAAGGACCCGAATATCGATAACCCTCCATTCCTCACATAATTGGCGTAACATTTCCCCGAACCCTTTCAAGGCACCCGTAATGTTACATGTTATTTAATTACACAATCTCAAGTACAATGCGAGACGTTCACTCGTATTAAATATGGAATCATAAGGAAAATTTAATGAAAATTACATTTTGGAAAATGATACATCGAATATGAAGCTTTATATTCTACGTGTAATTAATTTCTTAATTAGGGTGGTATATTGTTTATTAATATTATTTTCTACTAAAGATAGGTGATTAAATTAAATAAGATTTCATACCTACTTGAACACGTACACTTGTAATATCAATGTAGGTTTAAGTAAAACACTTTAACGGTTTAAAACGCGATATATTAGTTAAACTTATTTGAAAATGATTTTTAACTTCGGCCCGATGGATGTTTTGCAGCAAACCGTTAAAGTGTTTTATTTAAATAAGTCGATTTTTTTCAATTTGTTTTTGATTTAAAATTTATATAGTGCCATCATGTCATAGTGTCATAAGGTTTTCAAAAGTAGGAATAAATTTACGCTATACACAATTGTAGAGAGAATAACTTTGCAGGTAATGGAGAAATTCTTGGGATGCGTCAATTTCCATACATTGTAGCCTTACAATCTCGAAGCAACAAGAAACTACGACTTCCTGTCTGCTCCCTTGTAAACTCCCGTAAGATTCTGTGGTAATGAAGGAATGGACCCTTGTAAGTCATCCCTTACACGACGAGGTCTCAATTATAACCGAATAAATCAGAATCATAGAGTCTCTATTTCTTGTTAATTAATTCATACATTGATAACCTAGTTCAGAATTAACTTATTAAAATAATCCATTAAGTTTAATCAACAATTTATTATCTTTGATAAATAAATGCATTATGTGTAAATTAAGTAAATTTCAGAGCCTTAATCTAAATATTTGTTAAGATACAAATTATATCAATATTCGATGTTAGTACGAGTATATAGGTACATAATAATGTGGTAATAACAAAGTTTATGCAAAAACAATAAAAGATGATTAAAGATACTTGTGTTAATTAAAATTATAATGCGAGAGGTGCATGTATCAATGGCTTGAAAAAATTCAACGATAACATTTCGGACAGGGTAGAGCCAATTGGTTAGAGCAACAGCACGGAACGCTGTGGATGCCCCGGTTCACGTCCTGCCCGTGTTGTAATTTTATTCGATTTAGTTGTTATTAAGACTTGTTGCGGATATAACAGCGATGTATTTTTGACATAAATCATTTTCGCTAAGGCACATTTGGGGCTCTCAAATGTGCTGTGTGGCTTTGGTTTCGTTTAATTTGCATACATTCTGATATGAATGCAACGTGGAACGCAACAAAGAGGGAAATGCAGATCCCATACATATTTCACACGGTGAATGGACTCGATTGCGACGTGAGCAATACTGTTAATTGCCAAAAACCAATCATCAGATAGGGCTCTGTGTCGACGCTATGAAATACGCCTTTAGTTACAAAAGCTTTCACCACCAATGTATGTCCGTGAAATTTTAACTCAATCAACAAACAATTGCATTTGGCTAGCACCAATTTCATATAGCTATTACGCACGTATCGTGAGTTTATTTACTTTAAATACAAATGAATACCTAAGTGGCTCTATGGTTTTGGGGTTAACAAGATGTGGAAGTGACATTTCATACAATTTAGTTTGGAGCAGTTTCTTTCAGTACGTTTTAAAGATTAAATGTTACTTTTAAATTATGTACTTGCTGGTCTTGCAAACTTTTTTTCGCCTTAATATGAACTTCTTTTGTTTTTGTCAATTCGAGTCAACTTAAATTGATTACCATAACAATTATAACCATAAAAAAAACTTTTAAGTTAAACAGTTTTGAAAGTACTTAAAAAAAAAAAAAATATTACATAATCATCGTGTTTTACTAGTACCCTTTCATTTGATACCCGGGCGTTAAGGAAAAATGTGTAATCCGCCATTTTGTATCGGCGGCCATCTTGGATTTATAATGTTTTTGATTTTATTATATTGTATTGTCATTTAAATTAAATGTGTGTACCAAATTAAGATCAGTCTGACAACGGGAAGGTGCTTACATTTTAATTTCTAATTTTGACCCAAATAAATAAATTCCGTACGGTCGAGCTAAATAATGTTATAATGTTAAAAAACGGTCCTTGTGATTTATTTTAAATGTCGCGGTTTTAATATTATTTATTTTTTTTTTTTTTAAAAAAAAAAAAAAAAAAAAAAAAAAAAAAAAAAAAAAAAAAAAAAAAAAAAAAAAAAAAAAAAAAAAAAAAAAAAAAAAAAAAAAAAAAAAAAAAAAAAAAAAAAAAAAAAAAAAAAAAAAAAAAAAAAAAAAAAGAAAGAGAGAAGGAAAAAGAAAAAAAAAAGAGAGGGGGAGGGGGGGGGGGGGGGGGGGGGGGGAAAAAAAAAAAAAAAGAACCCCCCCCGCCCCCCCGGGCCGGGCCGGGGCCGAGAAAACCCCCAGGGGGGGGAAAAGAGAAAAAAAAAAAAAAAAAAAAAAAAAAAAAAAAAAAAAAAAAAAAAAAAAAAAAAAAAAAAAAAAAAAAAAAAGGGGGGGGGGGGGGGGGGGGGGGGGGGGGGGGGGGGGGGGGGGGGGGGGGGGGGGGGGGGGGGGGGGGGGGGGGGGGGGGGGGGGGGGGGGGGGGTTTTTTTTTTGGGGGGGGGGGAGAAGGGGGGGGGGTTTTTTTTAAAAAAAAAAAGGGGGGGGGGGGGAGGAAAATTTTTAAAAAAGAAAAACCCCCCCAAATTTAAAAAAAAAAAAAAAAAGGGGGGGGGGGGGGGGGGGGGGGGGGGGGGGGGGGGGGGGGGGGGGGGGCCCCCCCGCCCCCCTTTTTTAAAAAAAGGGTTTTATTACCCCGCCACCCCCCCCGGGGGGGGGGGGGGAAGGGGGGGGATTTTTAAAAAAAAAGGGGGGCCGGCCAGGGAACCCCCCCCCCCCCTTGAAAAAGGGTTCGGTAGGCGTCATAACTTATTAAAAATTACTTATTTATTTAAAGAATAATATTTGTTTTATACATTGAAATACTAGAAGAAGAATCCAGTCTTGGAAATAGCCATTAAGATTAACCGCGTCGGTTTCAGTCTTTGGATTTCCGAACATTTAAAGCTAAAATAGGTCACCAGCGCTGTTTAGATTTCATAGGGCTGGAGTATTTTACCATCAAGGGAACCCAATGCTTGTCCTCCTCTATCATAAAAAAAGGAAATTATCTGTTGTATACCCGTTAATAAGTAGTCGTTTTATATGTGAGGTATATGTTTTGTTATACTCATATGTTAAGCTGTACCGTGGTCCAATATCAATCAATCAGGAAGGTCCATCGGAGTCTGCCACGAAAATTGGAAAGATGAACTTATAGAACATATTATATAATGTTGAATCTCTCCAATAAACGTCTATGAGAAAACGAACAGCCTATTCAATACTGTAAACTGTATTTGCGTTATAAAAATAAGATGTTTCTTTTTTCTTAAACTGTTAGTCATTTTTATAATTGTAGCTTGACATTATAAATTGTTGTACTAATATTCCAAAGCTTTTCTTTGGATACATATAAAATTATTACATTATTTTAAACTTTATAACCAAAATCAACGAGAAACACATCGAAGCATTAGACATTTTAAATTATTATTGTGTAAACTGAATTAATTAAGCAATAAGTTTATTTATGGATGAGTATTTAAATAAATAATATATTTTTAAATAAGGAAGTAAATTCAGGAAGAATAGTACACAAGATAGTTCAGCAATAGGAAGGAATAATTTGAACTTATGAAATAAGGATATAAGCTAGGCCCCCAAATAAAGGCTCCATAAAAAACTAATTCATTTCGGGGAATTGTCATAAAATTTAGATTGTCTCAAAAGGCGTATTATTGTTTAAAATACTTCTTTAATGACAGGGCTGCCTGGCAGTGATATGAATTGAAATTCACAAAAATGTATTAGTTTGGTACATTGTTTGGTAAGAAAAAAGCCAGACTGAGTTTCTTGGGTGTTCTTCTCGGTTATGTTGCTCTTTTAAACACTGTAGAATTACGACGAACGGACAGACAAACATCATTTTTTTTGCAAATCTAAATAATTTTTATAATTTTATAGAGAATAAAGTATATTTTCTTTTATTTCATTCATTTGTAGACATTTGGATTTCTAAAAGGTTAATACAAACACTTTCATTTTGAATAGAATAGACATAAACCCTTTGTCTTAGGTCTTTATAGTGTCACTTGGCATTTATACCAAAGGTTACGCACTGTACGTTTTCTTTGCTAACACAGTTTTATTAAGGGGTGGTATTGTATGACTTGACCTTTTACGGCGGCAATACACATAAGTCATTCGTAATTCGCCTTCTATAACCGTTATTCTTTGAACTATAAAAGAATAGGATAATTGAAGCGTTTGTATAAGTGTTAAATGGATCAATAAATCAGTGATCGTTCAATGTCGAGAAAATTACAAGATTTATTTGATTGCTTCGACAATGAGTCGTAAGTAGTGTGAAGTTAATTAAACAAACGCAATTAAATTGTTTGCAAAGGTTGTTTTTATAATTTGAATACTTATCTTCAATGTTAATAAAGCGTCTTCACTTGTTCAAATTTTTATGACAGGCAATTAGGGATCTGAAAACTAACAAACTGACAAGATAAGAAAAATATAAGACACGGGGGGGGGGAACCGGGGGCCCGTTTTAAGGAGGGGGGGGAGAAAAAAAAGAGGGATGGAAGGGGTACCAGTTGTGCGGGCGACCTAGCTAATGTTGATAAGAGTTATAAATGTTTTTGTGGTTTCCAAAGGGGGCGGTTAAGGCAACTGCTTCTTACCTTATTCGAATCCAAAGTCTACGTATTTTACTTCGACATCATAAACTATCGTATTTACGTACCTCTCATTTTCTGCTCATCAAGTAGTTGTCTCTCGAGATTGTCTTTGACCTCTCGCTCCCTCAGCACATCCATCTTCAATTCAGCTGCAACAGACAATAAAATCATCTTCATAATTCAATCGCTAGATCTTATAATTTCTGTTTATGGCGGCTTATGAAATAGTGATGCGCCCGTAAATTGAACCGAAACCGAAGCTCCACTGGAGATTGGGTACTGAAAAATTGTTCGGAATTGAAGAATTTCAAGTAGCTAAAACCGTAATTTAAGTGAGTAAACTTTTGTATTATTTAAATTAACAATCTATTAAGATTGAGAAACAATTTCGACACAGGCGGAACTTGAACCGACGTCCACAGTATTCCGTGCTGCTGCTCTAAACAATTGATCACACATGTCCTATACAAAAAAATAATCTTATTTATAGCAGCAATTAAATTGCATGTTATCAGACAAAATTTAAATAAGGTACGACATCAAACCGAAGGTCGGTTACTTTTCTGTTATTCGGTTAAACCTAACATCGAAATCTCTAGAAATAATAGCATAAACAACATTTAAACTTATAAATGTTTCACGGTACACAAAAGGCTTTGTATAAATTTAACAGTGAGCTAAACCGGTAACAAGGCCGTTAGCGAGGGGCCGATTAGGAACATAAACACGGATTAACTCATTCGGAATCCCGGTACCATTGTGAAGGAGTCGAATTTAGAGATTTGCATAACTTTCAATTAAGGCTAACCTGACGGAAGCGATTGGGGAGGAACAACAATCCTAGGAAGCGGTCGATATCGTGCGATTCATTAGGTAATATTATTGGTGTCATTAATTATTGCTTTGAGATAATAATTATTGTTTAATATAAAGGCTTTAAAAGCAAATTATATAGAGAGTCTAAGACTAAATGGGTTAGATATTGGAGTTGTATTTGTTAATACAAATTCACTCACATGCAAGATAATGCTTTCGTTAACTGGGCGGGAAACAAAGAGAACAGTGCTAATGACGTTTCCGACATTCTTAAATATTTGACAATTAACCTCTAAGACTACAGACTTTAATTTACAGTTGTCATTATTCACTCTTGTATGAAATTTAATAAGACTATTTAAGAATATTGTAACTCAATCAAATAAATAACTACCTACTTGTCATCACTAATTTTTTATATTGTAATTTTCGTTTTCCCTTGGGAGAAATTACACAATGATAAATATACTATATACTTATTATGAATCATGTGAGTAGGTTATTATAATCACAGACAACAACAAAGCCTACAATTTAGTTCCTTAAAACGTTAAAATAACAACGATGCGTTATAGACTTAGTTGTCCTTTGGAAAACTTGTATTTAAACGGACACTTTTTTTAGAAAGAAAAACATCTCTACAATGGCATAGAAGTGAGCTAATATAATTCGCGTTTAATCTTTTTTTTAAGTATCTTATACAAATTAACTGTTAGTATTCCCAACATCTCAAATTATAGTAACGCCCAAGCAAAACATCGTGAATAATTCGAGTACTACAAAGGTTGGCAAAACCAGGTTTCAAGTCCGACATACTGTTCCATGTAGCCTCACTGGAGTTTAGCGAGTTGGCATCTATAATTACGGGTTGCGAATATCGATTGTAGCTCGTAGTATCGAGCTAAAATAATTACAACGTTATCGATTATTAAACGAAACAATGCCCAGCGTATTGAACATGATAACTGCGGAGTCAAATAATTGTCGTTGTCTATGATTTATTATTAGAAAATAACAGTCTACTTGATTGTTCGAGTATTGTCTGTGGTATACGCTAGTGGTACATATTACTATAAAATTTAGCAACGATTGAAAACCACATCTTCTGTAAATCATTAAAAATATCAGGCCGTAGATAAAACAAAAAAAATTATATTAGTGGGCTTTATTTAAAAAAAAATAAACATTGTAAAATGACAATTCAGCTTACAAAACTTTCCTACCTAAAAACTTACAAGGGCAAAGTCCGCAACATTATAATTGTTCTATCTGTATATACATTTTTGCTATTTTTTATCTGTAATAAATTTATATATAGCATTATTTATACTATTATAATACAATTCGTTCGACGCACCGATTATTTAAAATAATTTCAGTATATTCAGCCCAGAATAAACACGCAGTCAGGTAAATACAAAACTAAATTGTCAGGCGAAGTTTAATCAAAGCTTTTTTCTAATATCGAGAAAATTGTAATTCTGAAAGCTCTGAATACGGAATTAACGCCTTTTCTATTCAAATGAACATTGGCGAACTCCAATATACGTCTTATTAAGATTCTTCGGACGTTGTGTGGCGTTAGTAAAAATAAGCTATCGCATGAAAATAAAACTACACGAAACCATAATAATGCTACGCTTAACCGGCTCCATATTGTATCGTCGGACAATAATCTCGAAGATAACGCAGAGACAAGTTAACTTGCTTTTATATTATGCCATGTGATAAAGCCTAAGAATAAAGGCGTGTCGCACCACTATCTACCACCCCGATCTTGTAAATTGAAATGTTGTCTTGTCCATTGTTTGTTTCCAATATTCTTATTACTAGAGATGCGCTGAATATCCGAAGTTTTTAAAGTCGCAAGAAGTTAATCGCATTTTAAGGTTTATCTTTAAAGAAATGTATTAACGCAAGAATATAGATTCCCTTATGATAATATATAGTAACGTATGCGTACAATTAACTATTTTCTAGTAAAGGCAATATTACTCACTATATAAAACTAAAATACAAAGAGTTATGTGACTTCCAAGCCACAATAAACCGCAAGAAAAGGTAGATATTAGAAAGAAGAAAATGTTTTTTACATAAATGAAAATTGTATTTTAGATAAAAAAATACGACACTGGCAGGACTTGAAACGGCACAATGTTCTGTAGTGTCGATCTAACCAATTTAGCTACCGTGTTTTGCACATCATCTCATGCATGCACCTTTGGCTCATCTTCAAATATTTTAACACGCCACTTATTATTAAACCCCTTATATGTCAGTCGTTACCTAATTTGGCCCATTTAAGATAAAAACTACTTGTGTCTTGCGAAAAACCTTTTCTCGCACCTAAAGCCGAAGTACCGAAATTCGGTTAATCTTTGAACCGAAGCTGCCGAGCCCTAATTATTAAAGACAAGTAACAACGCTAACCAAGTATTAAAAATAGAAGCAATTTGTGAGATTACTACAGAATCGGCACTAATTTCATACAAAGCGTGTATTCGTTCGATCGTCGAGATTAATTTCAAATCAATCCCGTTGTATGCTATAATTTAGAAGGCTTTTAGTTAAGGACGGTTTCGCACATGAGACTTAAATTACCTCAGCCGAGGGACGACCATTAAGGGTCCGCGTTGGTATGCGGCATATCTGAACATCTCGCGATTTGCGAGCTACACAAAAGGGGCTCCTGGTGGTCTTTGAGGTAAGTGGCGATCTATCTGTGTATTGTTTCATCTGTGCACTGAATCTCTTCAGGACTCAACGTGAAGCTATCGTCTGTAGACGTAATAATCGAGAAACGCGAGGTTTCAAAAACAAAAAAATATATAATATGTTACTCTGTGAATGTAAAATTATCACATATTCTTGTAATTTTCCACGATATTAATTTTCTTTCAAATCCTCTATATACATAAGAAATAAGCTCTGCCATTATTAAAATTGGTTTCATACATTGTCAGTAGGTATAATACGCGAGAAGAACTTAAAAAAAACACTTTTAACGGGTTAAAACGTATCTATATGTATCAGTTAACTTATTTACAATTAAACGAGAAACGAGAGGACACCGTGAGTCAAATCAAGTCTGTTGGGACCTTCAAATACCAACTATTACGAAACAGATGGCGCTGGCATAGGAAATTTGACTTTAGGAATTCCCTCCATATTCACCCACCGTGACCACGAATGCAAAGCATCCGAAACCTCGAAACGTAGTAAGACTAAATTGTAAATGACATAACTAATATAAATTGCGTTTTAAAACGTAAAAAGTTTTATTCAAACCGATATAATTAACTCTATAATATAAACATTCAAATATAGACAGACAAAACATCATATAAAAACGACACGCGTAAAACATATAACCATAATTGGAAAACACATCTTATAGGAACCTACGTCCCAATTTAAAAGCGGTTCACGGAAATTAAACGAGTGATAAATTTATTAGCGCATTAAATGATTGTTATCGAAGCAACCGGCACATTCGATTATAACTAAATCGATCTTTGTATCGAATCAATCAAATTGAAAAAAAAAACATAATAATGCGGAGCGGAGGAAAAAATTATTACTTTATAAATAAAATAACAATAAAACTGATGCGCCGTTCAGGGGAATATGTAATTATGGACAATTATTATTATACCGAAGCTCAATGGCTGATAGATGATTGAAAGGATCGAGACCCATAAACAAAAGGATCGATTTTGGTTACGCAATTTAATAATGGCCCCGAGTAATTAACTGGTGCCGTAATCGCTTCTCGAAATATTGTGAGCACTTATGCCCGTCTCGTGAATCGGGAAGTCACTCCGTTTGTTATTTTTAGGCAGCAATGAGATTCCGCGCGCCCCGAGGGTAGTAAGAGAAAATTTTATTTCTCTTCAATTCCACGCACTCAACAAAAGCAACAATATTTAAATTTATCCGTCGCACCCCCAGATCGCGACTCAATTGGATTGCACTCTTTCGTTTATTATACAATAAGCTGAAGAGTTTATTTGTTTGTTTGAAAGTGCTAATCTTGGGAACTAGTGGTTCGCGTTGAAGAAATATTTTTTCATTTATGGTGGAAAGCTTTAGGCTTGTTTAACAGGGCCGAAAAACCAGAGGGAAATGTGAACAAAAAAACACGGGTAAATCATACATCTTCGAGAGTTTCCGTTGCGTGCACTACACAAGAAGCCAACAAACTATGTATGAAAGAAACTATGGTTCTTCTTTAAGCCAAAAAATGTGCGCCATAGTATACGTCTATCTTTTATGATTTACTCGCAAGAACGACCGATTAGCAGAAGAACGGTAACAGCTATAATTTTTAAAG